GAAGAGTAGATGCAAGAAGGAGGGGAAGTCATCCAGATTCCGTTGTTGGCTGGGCTATGCCATGCCACAACTGTTGCACAAGCTTAGGAGGCTTTCTAGAATGTTCTTGGGCTTTAAGTCCACAGAGGACACTAGGCTTTTAGTGGCCCTAAGGCATTATCCAGTCCCATCAACCACTGAGAATTGCTCACATTGCAACAAAATGCTCTGTGATTTCTGTCTAGCTCACCTTAGTTGGTCTTGGAGTTTAGTGGGAACTTAAGTCAAGTGGCGTTTCAGCTCCTGGTTTGCTGCAGCTGACAAGGAAGCCCATCGGTCACTTGACTGAAGAATTTTCAATTCTGCAGGTAGCCAGAGGCTCCAGAAGGAGTCTGCATTTCCAACTCACTAGATCTCAGACTTGCTGTTATAGAAAGTGCCTCTGCAAGTAACAACAGTGGCTATGACTCAAGTGCCAGGGGCCTTGCACCTCTTGTATGTCCCCTGGAATCCTCACAACCCTGGGAAGCACATGTTTCTACTCCGACCCCCGGGAGGAAGTGGAGGCTGAGAGGTTAAGTGTTGGGCCCAGAGTCACACAGCTCCACGCAGTTGTGCTGAGACACCAGCATCAGCAGTCTGCTTGCAGACCCCTCACTCTCATGCACAGGGCCAAAGTGCCTTGCGTCCTGGGGGCAGAGTGTCTTAAGTGTGGAGGCATCAGTGGTTGATGACAATCTCTGGAAGATCATTGAGCTCCATGTCCAGAAACGAGTGGGGGGAGTCCTTGTGATACAGAGGCTTCCTTGGATGACCACCTCTTCCTTGACTTCCCAGCATCCCAACCCCAAAGCAGTGGTTGCAGAGATGAAACGCTGGGCACAGACCAGCATGCATTTCTCGAGAGACGTCAGCCAAGGAAAGTAGGACACGCATGAAGGCCAGAGGCCAGATGTCATGTCATGATGTGACCATGAAGACTCGGGGTGTGGAAGGGTGACTGCTTGATGGGGGCCATATGCGGGCTGAGGAGAAGCAGGAGAAGGCTGCTTTCTTCTCACTAGGTTGCACAGTGGCTGCAGGCCCATCAGCTAGCCTATTCGCCTAAGCAAAGGGTGTGGGTGTGTTATGAGGATCTCAGTAGACTACGTCACCACCCCTGACTAGGTCAGTGTGAGAGTATAGCATGGCTACAGCCTGACCCATGGGAACCTTCCTAGACTTGGCCCTGCACTTAAAAGAGCCAATCCTGTGCTCTGGTCGTGGACTGGTGATTCAGACATTGAGCTCTGACCAGTGAGTCAGTGCATCACTGACTGAAATTCTTCTGGCCCCGGAGCGCCAGGACCAGGAGACCCATCCTAGTCTGTGCCTAAGCCTGGGCAGGTCACCTAGCCAACCTGTGTACCAGTGTCAACCTTCCCATGGAAATAAAAGCTCTAAAAATTGACCTTCCATATGACCCCGCAATCCTCCTACTGGGAATATACCCTGAAGAACACAAATCACTCTATAAAAAATATACCTGCACACGTATGTTTATTGCAGCATTGTTCACAATAGCAAGAACCTGGAAACAACCATGCTGCCCATCAAAAGAGGACTGGATTAAAAAAATGTGGTACATATACATGATGGAATACTACGCAGCCATAAAAAAGAACAAAATCATGAATTTCGCTGCAACCTGGATGGAACTAGAGTCTATAATACTGAGTGACCTCTCACAGAAACGAA